ATTTTAACCGTAAAAAGTGATATGTACTGGCCAAGCGGCAGCACAATATTTGCATCTAATTAAACTATTAATTAATTTAGAGATGGAATCAGCAATTGGGTTTCCAAGTAGTCTTCTTCTTATAATTCGAGAAGAAAAATGGCCTTAAACCAACTCTAAAAGCTATTTATATCCTCGCAAAAGTTCATCCACTTGGATTTCAATTTGGACTGACTCTACTTTACACCTAGACTTCGTATCGCGTTCCTATTTTACACCTAAAACTTCAATTTAAGACAATTTGCATCCTAAATTCTTAAAAGTAGTCCCATTTAAATCTAATCAATAACATTATTGTTAGCAAAATTACCAGAATAGAGGACCGTGCAAATCGATGAAAATGTATTGAATTACTGATCACAAGCAAATGGATCGCAACTAAAATAAAACAATATGTTTTCATTGAGTCCTTTGTCCCATTAATTTTTCTTACAATTCTGGCGATTGGATTTAAGCGAGACAATCTAAGAGTTTAGTGAACAAATGTCCAAAATTAAAATGTTTCAGGATGCAAAATGTGAAATTGATACGAGTTCAAAAGTGTAAAGTATAATTAGTCCTTTGAATTTTTAATTGTGTCGCTTTCTAATAACGAAGAAAAAAAAAATTCCAGATCTCATTTCTTTCTTATAATAAATGTATGCCAAATCACAAAGTTTGGTCAGTCTTTCAGGAATTCCCGACCGTTTCTTATCTTGACAAACAATCAACACATTTTTATCAGATGGGCTTTAGTAAGGTAACTTAAAAATACACACACATACGTGTCGAGAAATTGATACCTCCGTAGAACTTGTTTATTTTCTTTAATTTGCATATAGTTTCTACACATGTTTGTTTTGTAGACTGTTGTTTGTCATATTTTATACGCAATTCCTCGTTAGAAAATGTGGAAAGGTAGTTTGAATCTTCTTTTAGAAAATGTGGATCGGTTGTTAAATTTACTGTACTGTTCATAAAATGTTGAATTTCTCTACGGCTCTCTCCAAATTAAAATTCAACATGGTATGTTGAACTCAAATTGAAAGGATTTGATGATGAGAGTTAAAACTTGTAGGTTATCTGATATTGAAAAATTTAGATGTGCGAGTTAGATTTTGATAAGAAAAAAATTTGTAACGGTGCTCGACCCCGCTGCCAATTGTCATCCCTAACGGATTCTGTCGAAAGCGAAATGTTTTTGATTTCAGCTATCTAACTTTTGGTCTCAACTCCTTTTGTTTGTAAGTTTTTTTCCTTCTGGTCCAAGGTCTCTAAGCCCAAGTTGATACAGTATCAAGAAATCTATGCAGCCCATAGCCACAACAAAAAGCCTTGGGGCAAAGTGGATCCATGTTGTGGTAACTAGTTTTGTACATGGTGCCAAGGAAGGGAAAAATATGTTCTTGCCATCTTCCAATTGTGTTTCCATTCAAGCTGCTCATGCTTCAATTTTACTTTGCTATTTTCCTTTATACATTTTGACGCGCTCCTGTGATTGTTAACTTATTGATTTCCTTGAAAACAGAAGAACTATGTTGCTAGACAACCAAAGTAGGCGGAGCCAAGGACAAGCAAATAGGATGTCAGTTTCTTTTTGAAGAACTTCTCTAGCAAATACATATGTTGTGATACTAATCTAGCATGTGAGTTGATTTAGCTTAAATGTTCGTGGAAATTGAGGAATGCCGTTAAAGATCGTACTATATCAACTTTGATGCAGTCAAACAATTAAAAGGGGCGTCGTTATCTTTTTGAGTAGTAGTCTAGACTTCAAAGTACTGTGGTAAAAGGTCAAGATTTACCAGAACTTCCACCAGAGAAGCAAATGGTAAAAGGTCAAGATTAGCCGCCAAAAAGGAGCTGGAAATATAGGATAAAATTGCCAAACGAGTTTGGTCGAGTAGAGTGAACTCCCCATGAAGAAAAGGTCGAAAGGCCTCGACTTGGTAAAGTGCGTTCGGCTACCTCCCATCCACTCTGACTTGATGATTTTCAGTTTTCTTCTTCTCAGGAGTCAGGTCAATCCCCCTTGGCCACAGCTATGAACCCAGGTGCAATGAATTCTTGACCTTCTGCTTCCTATTGGAGAATGTACGTACGCTACACCTTGAGAGGGCAGCAATAGCATCACTTTTGACAAATTAATCCTGCCACGTCAGAATAGGGCCGTCCCTCTTGATCTCGTTAGGAATCTATCGGAGAAGAGTTCCCTGCTTGATCAAAACTAAATTTGCACTCTTCAAAATGTTGTTGCTGTAGCTGCCAACTTCTCACATGCCGCCTCCTTAACTTTTAGCTTAGCCACTGAGAATGTCGACAAGTACATGTCAAAGAATTTTGTACTTTGGTACAAAATTCAAGTCTACTGCTGTCTGAAAAAACTTTCAACTGGATGTCAAACTTAGGCTACAGCGGAAGAAACTTTCTTCAAGCATTGAGCTATCCACGTTAAGCTACTGTGAAAAAATCACCCTTTTGCGTGTGAATTTGAGAACTAAAGGCACTTCGCGTCTAGTGTCGTTGCATGAATTCATTCTCCAATCCGGTGCTGGTGACTCGTGACATTCAGATTCAGGTGAAGTTTTAACGAATATCGGGCCTATGACTATGACTATTGAGTGGACGTTAAATATCACTGAAAGCAATTGTTTTAGACAAACATCATAGCCCCTAATAATTATTATTAGTTAGCTCTGCATCTCAAACTTTTTAACCACTTCCAAAGACGATTTCGACGTTTGAAAACTTCACATTCCCGCTGGGTACTCAATTTCTTACGGTAGGAAGGCTTGATCATTTCAAGAAAATCTCGCGGCTGTAGCTGCTCCTTTGCTCAAAACTGTAGCTGAAAACGACGACGCTGGTCCGTGCTTGGTCGCGACTAGTTGAGCAGGCATCTTTGCCACGTTAACAAGAGATAGAGTTGAAAACTGTAGTTCAATTTGCCTCTTCATTCCTTGGAGAAACCTAAAGTTGTTTAGTTTCCTCCATTGATGGAACCATTTTCCAAACTTAAAATCTTTTACTTATCTAGGTTAAATTTCTCCTTGTCCAGAGAAGTACCACGTTTTCTATTCTGGCCCAGCAAGACCAAGGGCAGGCGGCACGTCAACAACCTAAAACCTAGCACTTGATCCAACAGTAGTGCATTTCACAAGTCACCGTCAATCCACCCCGCCTTTCCTTCCGCCATTCCTCCCAGTTTCCATTTTTCAACACTATAAATTCACGTAATTGGAAGGCATCATCAGATTCCAAGTTCATCCCAACACATCTAATAAACTTTGAAATGAGCACTCTAAAATCATTTGCGGTCTTGATTATGCTCCTCTCTCTTTTTTCTGGCGCGCTGCCTCAGTATTGCATACAAGCCCGGATATTGTTGAATTCTAGAGGGGTTCCTGGGAGAATGTCAACTTCCAAGGCGGCCAAGTATTCAGGGCAAATCCCCGCTGAGGGTAATGCGGCAAAAGATTGGAATAAAACCTTAGGAGGGATGAAGAACTCTGGTCCTAGCCCAGGTGCTGGACATGAATGCATTACAAGCAATGGCAACTAAATTCTAGCACTCAGAAATTTTAATGCCACGAGTGCTACAATGGGGAGTCTTTGACCATGTTAACGGTTGCTGGATTAGATTTAGCTAAATAAATAGGGTGTTTGGTAAGTGGGTTTCAATTTAAATTATACCTATACAAAATATGTTTGTTTAAGGTCAATGAAAATCAGCTAATGAATTTCACAAACTCCTATGAATTTCATGGTTAACAACTAATAAAGAGTAGCGTTTCACTTATCTGTTATCATTTTGCTGTTAGAACTGATGGTTGTAAAGTTACCAAATTTTTCAATATATAATGTCCATAATCGCAGACTCCTATTAATGGATGTAACAATCACGATGCTGGACTCGCGACTTCAATGTTTTTTTTTTTTGGGGTGTAGCGGGGGAGGTGGGAGGAGAAATTTCCGATGTAGAACCAATCTATATCCTGCTCTACTTATCAACTGTATATTTCACTCACAGTTCATCTCCTTGGTGGTTCAAAGTTTACAATCAAATGTCTGTCATTAAAAAAAAAAAAAAGCCCAAGTTAAATCTGATTTACTTACCTCCCGAAAATATATTATACAACTAAGACTGGTAAGCAAGACCAGAATTTGCCATTGTTCCGGAGACCATACTGGATAAAAGTTAAATATTCACTGACATTACTGGGTATTGCTCAACGCACAAGAATGAACACCAGAGTGTATAGGATTCTTCTTCACCGAGAAGTAACTGAGCCATATATAGTCTGCACAGCATAGCACTGTTGCAGTTAGTTAATGAGAGTAAAATAGTTTGCAGTTTAATCTGATTACTAGCTACATTCCTCTTTGCTTTTTTATGTGTTGTTAATATTTTTACTAGCTCTTGGTTTTTATTTTGAAGTAATTTTCTGCCATTCTTTCTAATAGCTTTGGCCAACAACTTTAAATTTGTAGTATTTGCCTTCAATATGAATAGAACTTCTGATTTATTACATTTAAGAGATTAAAATAACGTTGCAAGTTCTTACTTTGAGTTGGTGAAACTATGTGCCGATTTTAAATCGTTCAACATTTAAAAGTTTTAAATAAGATTGATCTTTTTTATACCGTCAATATAAAAAGAAAATTTTACATGAGCGAATGCATATCAGATGTGTAAAAAGAGTTAAAAATTAAAAATTAAATGAAATTTATGTATGCACCTGCTCGTGCAAAAAAAGTTCATACGATTGAAAAAATAACACTTACCCATTCTCGCAAATTATTGTTTTGACAAAAAAATTTAAAAAAAAATCTTGCAAACTATTAGCAACTAAATAAAAGATGGTTTGGATGGTACGGAAGGAAAAAGACAGAAACTTGTGGTCATGAAATATATACTAGCGGGCTACGTTTGCAACTCAATGGGCTTTATGCTTAAAGCCCACACTTGTGGCATCCACTTGAGATTCTGGGTCCTCCGGCCAGCTCCAATTTTTCCCAAACCGCACTATACAGACCGTCCGGAACGCAGGGCCATGGCGGATCGCTCTCTACTCCGCCGAGTCATTCTCCGTTCCACACCGCTGGGCACTGTTTTCGCATTAGGAAAATCACGTGTCTTAACATGTGAGGAAGGGCGACATCTCTACAGCAGCACCGGTTGTGAAAAGAAATTGGAGCCCGAGAATGAGAAAACTACTATTAGCAAGAAAGGTAATTGGTACGCATTGCCGCCGTTTACTCCCTCCGTCGACGGCGCTGCTCTTGGGAAGACGATTGCTCACCGCCAAACCGAGAAGAAACATAAAGCCTCCGACACCACCTCCACCTCGACCATGACGGCGCTCAAGTGGGTTACGCGATGCTGCCCTGAGCTGCCTCGGTCTCTTGTACAGAAACTCTTCCGCTTAAGACAGGTCCGTGATTATTTGCTCCCTGTCATCACTGGTGGTCTTATAGTAGTAAAATTATGCCCTCGCTGTCGTAACTTGTAATCTCCGGTGTGAGACAGAAGGAATAGAGTAGTAATTTGCTTGTAAATAACTCAATTTTGTAGGTTCGGAGAGATTCTTACAATGTTGAAGTTCAACAACGTCAGCTCAAGAGGGTAAGATTAATTCATGTTTTGTTAATTAGAATGTGCCGACAATTGGAGTTTCTCAAGGTTGTACATTTTTGTTTAATTTGCTTATGAGTGAGGGAGCTTCTTTTATCTGCAACTAAAGGAGCAGGTGATTGTACTCTTTCTTTGATGTTTCATCTACGCAGGTAGCAGCCAAGGACTTGATGAATTCCGGAGACAGAATAGTCCTACCTGTATCAATTCAAAAGGTTCCCTCAGCAAAAACTGATAGCACTTTCAGTGAAGAAGAAATGAAATTCCTTCATAGCATGGTTCTGTTTAAGGTCTGGCCTCTACGGATGATTTTACTTCTTTCCCCAGTTTGGATTTGACGTCTGATACCTAGATGTAACTTTGTTTTAGGATCCAGCTGTTATTGTCGTAAATAAACCCCCTGGAATGCCTGTTCAGGTATGTTTTGTGCATTAAAAGAGTAGATAACTTTTCTTAGAGATAATAGATGGTATAGATTTTTTCAATTGATATTTAAAATGTTGGACAGGGTGGTATAGGCATCAAAAGAAGTTTGGATGAACTGGCGGCTAAGTATTTAAGGTTTGATGATTCGGAGTCTCCGCGCCTGGTAAGATTATAGTTACATTTTCTAGTCGGCAAACATACTTCCCCACTCCCCATGCAGCCCAAAAGATAAGACCCAGAAGCATGTTGTTGATTCTGCTGTAGTAGAGTGTGCCAAACAACCTCTAGCATATTGCAAGATTCAGGCTAGTTTTATTCTGGCTCGACTGTAACTATAATTAGGTTTTTGAGTTGATTTGAAATTCCAACAACAATTTCAGATCAAGAAAATTGAACCTTCATGAGACACAAAAACAGTAGATTTCATCAGAAATGTCTACAAAGAACAACAACCAACATAATCTTGAATTCTTTATCATTAACCCATAAAAGCTTAATATATAATATCTGAAATTTAAGAAATTAATCAGAATAGCATCATTTTATGAGGCACCCAAATGATTGTAGCAATTTGTGAAAATTAGCTTGCCTCTTGCATCAAGTTGCAATGAGGGTTGATACTGAAGATGTGCACTTGAGTGGGCTAAGTTTTTGAGTTTCGGAGTCAGCAAAATAGTTGCAACTAAATCTGTTTGTAGCTCTAAATTCTGATTAGATTTTTCTCTTAGTTATTTGCCTTTTGTGGTGATCTTGCTTTGGGTAAGCTTGTCATCTTTTAGGTGCACAGACTTGATAGAGATTGTAGTGGCATATTAGTGATGGGGAGAACACAGTTGAGTGCTACTACTCTACATTCTATCTTCCGTGAGAAAACTCTTGAAGCATCTGAATATGTGGGTAATTTTTCCTACTTATCTTTTGTGTTTATGCTTTGTTTATTAACATGTATTCTTGCTTCTTTTGTATTGCATGGGTCTTAGTTGTATTCTCTCACTTTTTAAGGATCTTGTCAGTAAAAGACGAATAGTCCGAAAGACATATTGGGCTCTTGTCATTGGATCTCCTAGACGTTCAAAAGGAATAATCTCAAAGCCATTGGGAAAGGTGGGAGGATTCTTGACAGCTGTTGACTTGTGTATATGTTTTTTCTTATTAAGCTAGGATGTATAGGGATGGAGACATAAATTGAAATTTTGAATTTTCGTGCTTGCTGCAACCTTAAATAGTTAATTAGCTTTCTAGTTTAATCTTACTACTTAGAGAAAAAACAGATGCATGAAAACTATAATTGCCATGTTATTTTATCGACTGCTTTGACTCATTTAAGAATTTGTTCTGTTATCAGCTTTCTTTTACTCCCAAAATGAGTTGGATGGTATCTTAAAGGCATTGCATAGGTCATAATATGATGTTAAGATTCTACAATATTTTTCATCACCATCATTGTGTTGATAGTAGTTAGGACTATGTAATTTGGCTCCTAGTGGGATGCACACCGTTCATGGAATAATTCAGAATTGAACAGTTAATGGTCAGCAATAAATAGCCATATGCTCTTTTTTTGGTGTTTGTCTTTATTCCTCTACTAACAGCCCCAACATCAGTATGTATAGTTGTTTTATACTTTCTAAATTTTGATTAGTTCTATATGCATTATACTATGGTAGGAAATTGTAAAGCCCCCAAGTGACATGTATGGTAAACTTTTGTAGTTTAGCACTACTTACATTGTGTTGAGGGGTGACACGTGTTCATTACTTAGCACACAACCTGGGGGCTTTAATAGGAAGCCCATGTCTTTGAAATTTCTTTTAAGTGATCCCTAGAGGTTTTGACATCTAACTCTTGATCCTTCATGGAAAAGTAAAGGATTTGTCCCTTAGAATACACTTTAGTTCATTTCTTATTACATAGCTTTCCAATGTTATTTGAGTCATTTTCAATCTTCAACAAGCACTTCGGCTAATTCTTGTTCTTCCTGTAGGTGGTGGTGGACAATGGAAAATCTGACCGCATAACAGTTGTAGATGATGTTCAATCATCACTGGCTCAGTATGCTGTGACAGAATATGAAGTTATTGGATCTTCTTGCTACGGTTGGCTCTGAACACCCTTTGCAGTATTATGATCATCAAAGAGATAGAATAAATATGAAGAATGATTTGTGACTTGTGAGTTGGCAAATACCCTGTGTACGTAGTATGGGTATTTGCTGCATGAACTAACTGCATTGCTGTCTCTCTAGAATGGTGTTTCTATTGATCCTTGATGTGTTCAGTTGAGATGCAATTTATTTATTTCCAAACTGTTTTTCCAAAATTTTATGTGCGCTTTTTAAGTGGCAATAAGTTGAGCATTCCTATTAAAAAGGAAGGTATAGCAAAGCATTTGTACTATCGATGTGTTTACTTGTCTTGGGTTTACTTTTTCATTCCTCCCATGTGTTCCTGGCAGCAGACAGGTGAAATGTTGAAGGGTAATATGCACGTTTTCAGCCTGTGCTAATCATGTTTTTTTTTTTACGTGGAAAGGAATTTTTCAGTAATCTATTACAGCAAATGGGTGTTTATTAGCTAGTGTTACTTGAGTGCACCATTTTATTCATTTTGTATCCTGTTTAATTTTTACAAGGGTAAAATTGCAGGCTACAGCTGGCTAGAGTTATCCCCTCTTACAGGCAGAAAGCACCAGGTATGGGTGATAGTTTTATGCTGTACTGATATGACAGTGAACTCGAGCTTACAGCTTACCTGCCCCCTTTTTTTTTGGCCTTCTGTGGTTCAAAGCTACGTGTTCACTGTGCCGAGGTATTGGGTACACCAATAGTTGGGGATTACAAGTATGGCTGGCAAGCTCACAGGAACTTGAAAAATCCTGGTCCCTCTGCTCTCACTTGGGACCATAATGAGGGACTCCCTGAGGAAGGGCTAGATCCTTTCAGCCTTAATCTGGGTAATGGAAGCATCTTGGATAAGCAACCTCGCCTTCATCTGCACTGCAGAGAGATGGTCCTACCCAATATTTCTCTCGCGCTGCAACGTGCCAAATCAATTACAGATCTTGATCTTGAGGATGTGAAAACCATCAAGTTTGATGCTCCTTTGCCATCACACATGCAAAAGAGTTGGGACGCCTTGGGTTCCTAGATTGTAGTCTCTCTCTCTCTTTGTTTTTTTTGGGTTTAATTGGAGTGTTAGTTTTTGCTTTTGCTGGAGTAACTTGTGATATAACATAAACAGGTCTATCAATTTTTCCACTAATACGACCATCTTGATGTAAAATCAGTAGATGTCAGTTGTTTTTTTTTTTTAATTAAAAACAATGAATAAATTTTCATCCGTAACCCTTTTAGAACGATACTACGTTGTTGTGTTGGTGTTGATGGTCGTGAAATATGCGTCGTCTTCACAAAAACTAGTGCTAAATGTGTGTAACAGAAAAGCCTTAATATGGCGTTGGCCCAATGTTTTTTTTCCAGTACAATAGTGCAGCAGCATGTCAGCCTGTGTTTCTTCCGATAACATTCTGAAAATCATCTTCTCGTTATGTGATTCTAGTTTTTCTAATGCTCTTTCCATCAAATAAACGAATGATAACCAATCATAACAGGCAGAAGAGCTTTGCCGGGAGCACAGTGGAGCTGTTCAAAGTCTCTGACAGAAACGGACTGACTTCCTCAAATTTGGAAGCAACGCAGCTTTCTGGAGGTTGAAGGACCACATAGGAATCGGATAAATTTTTTTTTTTTAAAAAAAAAAAAAAAAAGGAAAAGAGAAAAACTGGAGGGGTCTACACGTTGCTGGTAGCAATCTCTATCAGCAAATTTGGATAAGGCATAAGAGTTGAATTTGGGGATCGCGGTTGTTGGGGGCCTGGTGGGATTTCTTGATGAAAAATAAGTCACCAAACCACTTGAAGCAGATAAAAGGTCATAGTTTCTACAGTTTTGTAGTCATCTCCAACCACGATAATTAATGTATCCGCGGATCATGAGATGGTCAAACTCTGGTATGCAAGTAGTAGTTGGTACAGGTTACTTGCTCTGAGACGATTTATTATTATTATTAGGCATTATTAATGGAGTGCTACAATAGTATAGTATAGTTTGATGAGCTCTTTTGAATGATAATCATTGCTCCATTATGTTGAAGTGGTTAACCTTCTCCTTCTCCTTCTCCTCCTCCTGCCTGTGGAGTCCGTCCATCCCAACAAGAAAATGATTTACTACTGCCTATGTAAGCAAGCAAACTCAATTGAGAAAAGGACTATGAGTAAGTTCATCATCGTGCATTGAAAACTCTCAAGCACTCATATGACCGAAAATCCTCCTCTTTTTTTTGTTGGAACTGATATACAAGTACGAAGAAAGGAGTAGACAGACAGACAGACATATTTGAACGAGTCTCTTCATCCAGCCTGCCTATAAGTTTTGCCACCTCTAAAGTGCATGTATACCATATACGCGTCTGGGTATCTCTATCACCAACTCTCTGCAGATTTTTCTTCCACCTACTTTCTACTTGGGATTAATAATTGGAACCCAAATATAACAGTTGGAATGGAATGATCCTTTTGCCAACAACAACGACTGTCATTGTTGTTCGAGGCTCTGTAATATCCGAACTGGTTGACCTATATATATATATATATATGTATCATTATTCTTGCTAACTGGTAGGAATATTTGGGCCGCTAGAAGTAATTGTTAATTTTTGGAGGAAGGCAAAAAAAATGGAATCTTTCCTAGCTAACACAAAATAGTAATATTAATAATTAATAAATAAATAAAATCAAGAAGCACCTCGGCCTACCCCGAAAATGCAAAAACGTTTTTTTAAAAAAAAAGAAGATAAAATGAAGATGATTAGAATATAGGGGTCATGGAGGATTACTAATTTACTACTACTACTCTCGGGTGGTTGTTACATGATTGGCAATTTTTTTAGTGCGACGGAAAGCAGGCCAAATTGAATAATAATAATGGATTTTTTTTTCCAACGGCAACATTTGATTGGTGGAATAATAATAATGGATTACTTGGTGGAATTAGCAGCAGGTGATGGGACCCTCTGGCTAGGTTGTTTGATTGCTTGGTGTCAGGAACACAAGCATACGTCGTCGTTTTAGTGATTCTAGCTAAATAATGCAGTTGTTAGGGAACGATGTCGTTTTACTTACAAAAGTTAGTTGGTCGGTTGTATCATGTTATAAATAAAGGGCTCTGTGAATGGCCAGGGTACCTGAGTAATAACCAAATTCTGTTACATTCATTCTCTCTCTCTCATTTCCTGATTCTCTCTCCCTTTCTCTCTTTCCCTTCCCTCCAATTTCCAAATCTGATAATCCAAGACCCTGACAAAGTGGTATCAGAGCTACCGATCCTTGGTAGCTCCAATGGCGGAAGGAACTCGCCTCAAAACCTTGGAGGAACAGGTGAAGAAGCAAGAAGCAAGACTACAGGAGGCTATGGAGGCATTTCACTCTTCACAGCAGCAATTTCATGCTGATTTTGGCGGTGAGATCAGAGCAGAAATAGAGATTTCCAACAGGAAGTTGGAGAAACTGGAGGTGATGATGGGCGGATTGGAGCTGAAATTCAACTCCTTCCTACAGATGATGATGAACAGAGAAAGGAGTGCTGCGGAGGAAGCTAGAGAAGCACCACTACTACCTACTCCACCGCCTCAACATCGGATCAACAAGAGTGGCGAAAGCAATGGAGACTTCACCAGAAGAGATGAAGGTAGGATCTATGCACCTTTTCCTCCTAGACTAGAGTTACCTCTTTTCCATGGAGAAAATCCGCAAGAATGGTTAAGGAAATGTAATAAGTACTTTTTGAACTATCACATTCCTGAAAATCAGAAGGTAGATGTAATTGAGATGTTTTTAGAAGGAAAAGCAGATAAATGGTTTCAAGGCCTTAAAATGGAGAAGACAGGCCTCAGTTGGACAGAATTTGAGGAATTCTTGTGCAAGAGGTTTGGTAACAAAATTTGTAAAGACATAGTGGAAGAATTTAATAAGATCCAGCAGATTGGGAGTGTTGAGGAATATCAAGAAAAATTTGAGGAGCTCAAGCCATTAATGCTGATGAAGAACCCCCAGTTAGATGAAGGATACTTTGTGTCAAGTTTCATTAGCGGACTTAGGGAAGAAATTAAACCAATTCTCAGAATGTTTAAGCCTACAGAATTGTCTGCTGCTTATGAAATGGCACAGCTACAGGAGTACTCATTGCAGTTGCAGAACAAACCAGGAAGGGAAGTGCAGAAAAATCTAGTGGAGAATAAGTTCGGCATGCATAAGAGTCAACCTCCAAACACCAATTCAGGCAATCTATATAGGGTTCCCCCTGTTAACCAGCACAAGTTCTCCAATACAAGAAAGACAACTTCAGATAACAATTACAATAGAAGGATTTCGCCACAGGAAATTCAGTACAGAAGGAACAATGGTCTGTGCTTTAAGTGTGGAGAGAAGTACGGCGCAGGGCATCAGTGCAAAACAGGTCACCTAAATTTCTTCCTTGGGGATGAAGAAGAGGACGCTGATTTTGAGGATGCAGTGGGAGAGCAGGATGAGCACACTGGGAATCCAGGAACTGTTATGGAAATGTCTTTGAACACACTGTCAGAATCTCTCAAAAGAAACACTATCACCATCACTGGGCATCTAGATGGGGAGGAGGTGCTAATCCTAGTGGATACAGGGAGCTCTGACAGCTACATTGACAGTGAATTGGTCATTGCACTGGATATTCCTTACCGAATGGTCTCACCCTTCTCTGTTATTGTGGGGAATGGGGCATGTGTAACCAGCAAGGCCATCTGTCCAAGGGTCAAATGGGAAGTTAACCAACACCAATTTGGCTTTGATCTGAAAGTGATGCAACTAAGTGGGTGGCATATTGTGCTAGGGGTAGATTGGATGACTCATTTTAGCCCCATCACGTTTGATTTCCGCAATCTTAGGATCTCTATGGAGTATCAAGGCGAAACAGTTCATCTACAAGGGAGTTCAGAGGATTGTGAGTTGGATCTAATTAGGGGCAAGGACCTTAGGCATTTTATAGAGTATAAGAAGAGATGCTTTGCTATCAGGACCATGGAAACAGCAATGACACCAGCAGGAGCCTCAGAAGGGTCGAGTGAGGAGCAGCAACCTCAGGAAATCAAAGAATTGCTGGGAGAATTTTCAGATGTCTTTCAGCTGCCTGTGTCCTTGCCACCTATCAGGGCGTGTGACCATGCAATTCCCTTGAAGTCAGAAGCTCAACCATTTAAGCTTAAGCCTTATAGGTACCCTCATTCTCAGAAGGAGGAAATTGAGAAGCAGGTTACAGAGATGTTACAACATGGAATTGCAAGGCACAGCAACAGTCCATTTGCATCACCAGTTTTATTGGTCAAAAAGAAGGAAGGCTCCTGGCGATTGTGTGTAGACTACAGGAAGCTGAATGCACTCACCATCAAAGATTGCTATCCCATTCCAAATGTGGACGAATTGCTGAATGAGTTAGCTGGATCCAATTATAAATCTAAGCTAGACCTGACTGCAGGTTACCATCAGATCAGAGTCAAACCTCAGGATGTGCACAAAACAGCATTCCAAACTCATTGTGGCCATTATGAGTTTCTAGTCATGCCTTTTGGGCTGACTAATGCTCCTGCAACTTTTCAGTCCCTAATGAACCAAATTTTTCAACCTTATTTGAGAAAATTTGTTTTAGTCTTCTTTGATGATATCTTGATCTATAGTAAGACATGGGAACTGCACTTGCAGCACCTGAAACTTGTGTTGAAGGTGCTCAGGGAGAATCAGTTGTTTGCTAAAGCCTCAAAATGTTCTTTTGCACAGTCTAGAGTGGATTATTTGGGACACACCATTTCAGAGGGAGGTGTTAGCATGGATTCCTCCAAAGTGAACAGTATTGTAACCTGGCCTTCACCTAAGTCAGTAAAAGAACTACGAGGATTTCTTGGACTCACAGGGTACTACAGAAGATTCATTAAAGGATATGGGATTCTGTGTAGGCCTCTGACGGAATTACTGAGGAAGGATGCATTTGTTTGGACTGACACAACTCAGAAGGCTTTTGACTTGCTCAAAAGAGTAATGACCACGGCCCCAGTACTCAGGTTGCCTGACTTTAAGCAGCCATTTGTGATAGAAACTGATGCGAGTGGAGGGGGAATTGGGGCTGTGCTCATGCAGGAGGGTCATCCTATTGCATTTCTCAGCAAATCATTGAGTCCAA